CCACCTGGTCTTTCCAACGCAGAGGAGGCCTTCCTCTTCCTCTGTTACCAGCATCGCGGCCCGCGTTGAATATTTTCAGAGCAGGAGCGTTTCTGTCCATCCGAACGACATGGCCAAGCCAGCGGAGCCGCTGAATTTTAATTCGCTGCACTATGTCTATATCGTTGTAAAGCTCATACAGCTCACCGTTAAATCGTCTGCGATATGCTCGTCTGTTAATGCTGGTTCCCAAATAAACGAAGTCGTCTACTTTTTCAAACTTGTAACTGTCAACAGTGACGTGGGTGCCAAGACGCGTATGCTCTGACTGTTTGTGTGATGACAGGAGATACTTCGTTTTGTCCTCGTTCACCACCAGACCCATTCGCTTTGCTTCTCTATCCAATCCCGAGAAGGCAGAACAGACGTAGCCCTTGTGTTTACCGATAATATCGATGTCGTCGGCATACGCCAGCAATTGTACGCTCTTATAAAGTATTGTGCCTGAGCGGTTCAGTTCTGCGGCTCTTATTATCTTCTCCAACATAAGATTAAAGAAATCACACGAAAGGGAGTCCCCTTGTCTGAAACCTCGTTTGGTATCAAACGGCTCGGAGAGGTCCTTCCCTATTCTGACGGAGCTGGTGGTATTGCTCAACGTCATTTTACACAGCCGTATTAGTTTCGCGGGGATACCAAATTCAGACATCGCGGCATAAAGGCAACTTCTCTTCGTGCTGTCGAAAGCGGCTTTGAAATCGACAAATAGATGGTGTGTGTCGATCCTATTCTCGCGGGTCTTTTCCAAGATTTGGCGTATTGTGAATACCTGATCTATGGTGGATTTTCCAGGCCTAAAGCCACACTGATAAGGTCCAATCAGCTCGTTGACGGTGGGCTTCAGTCTTTCGCACAATACGCTCGATAAGACCTTGTAACCTATTCTTAGAAGGCTAATTCCGCGGTAGTTGGCGCGTATGGCGGGGTCGCCTTTCTTGTGGATTGGGCAGAGCACACTTAAATTCCAGTCGTCGGGCATGCGTTCATCTGACCATATTCTGCATACGAGCTGATGCATGCACCTAATCAGCTCCTCGCCGCCGTGCTTGAATAGCTCGGCTGGCAGGCCGTCAGCTCCAGCAGCTTTGTTGTTTTTCAGCCGCGTAATCGCTATACGTACCTCGTCATAGTCAGGCGGTGGGACAGCTACTCCATCATCATCGACTGGGGACTCAAGTTCGTCTTCCTCACTACTTTCAGCGCTGCTACCATTCAGTAGGTTATAAAAGTGTTCCCTCCACAATTTAAGTATATTCTGGACATCGGTCACTAGGTCGCCATTGTTGTTCTTACAGGAGTTCGCCCCTTCCGTAAGTCGCCTAACCCTCTGGTAGAATTTTCGGGCGTTCTTCCTGCCGGCCAGCATATCAAGCTCTTCGCACTCACGTATTTCGGCCTCTCTCTTCTTATTGCGGCAAATACGTCTCGCTTCCTTCTTCAGTTCCCTATAACGGTCCCACATGGCTCGCGTTGCGCCCGATCGCAGCGTGGCCCTGTAGGCGGCATCTTTTTTCTCTGCGGCTTCTTGACATTCCTCATCGTACCAGTTGTTCTTTCGGGCTCGCTGAAATCCAACTACTTCTTCGGCGGCGGTACTTAATGATCGGGAAATGTGGTTCCACTCCTCGCGTACCTCGGATTGTTGAAGAGTGCTCTCAGGGAGCAGGTGTGTGAGTCGAGTGGCGAATAAATTGGCCGTCTGTTGTGATTGCAGCTTTTCGACGTTAAGCTTTCCTTGCATTGTTGGGCGCACATTTTTTGCTGCACAGAGGCGGGTGCGTATCTTGGCTACAACAAGATAGTGGTCCGAGTCGATGTTTGGTCCTCGGAGTGTACGTACGTCCAAAACGCTTGAAGCATGCCTTCCGTCTATCACAACATGATCGATGGAAATAATTAGCTCTATATTTAACCGAAAAATGAAATCAATCGAACTGCTTGGTCCTGAAATATAAGCATTTAAAGAGAGTGTCGTTACGTGACACAAATGGAAGTTGATTTTTTCTTTTCTTACAAAATCGCAAAACTCTGCGAATTGTGGATGGCTATTTTCATGAAACTTATTTTAATACGATTTGGAGCAATTCTAGTTGTTTTTAGAGTTTTTTGAATTAATGCAAATTGTTTCAATTTTCTTTTACAACCCCAAGTGTGAAACGTGACGTGACGTGGCGTCACGTGACATAAATTTCCATCGTTATATTTTTGTTAATATTGCTTTTAAATGAATTTTTAACGCAAATAAAACATGTATTTTATATAGAATATACTTTATATTTTGACTTCAGCGCCAATTCAGGGTCAATTTATTAGAAATCTATGATTTATTATGTTTCAACCACATACGCCAAATTCGAACCAAATCGGACCATAAATACGGTTTTTCGAAATATCTCGACCTTGGCACCACCTAGGAAGACCATTTTATGCAAACATGATTCTACTTACATAGCCAGTATATATTTTAAAAAGCAGACAAATCGGCCCGTAAATACGTTAGATATAAAACTTTTATTTTTTTTGTTGTGGTGGACCTTCCGCTGGAAACACCCATATGCTAAAAAGCTACCTACGTACCGAATTTTAAGCAAATCGGACCGTGAAAACGATTTTTTCGAATAGATCAGTCCCTGGTCAACTTCTCGGAAAAAATGGACCATATATCCTAATATATGCTAAAAAACTACTTACGTACCGAATTTTAAGCAAATCGGACCATAAATGCGAATTTTTGGAATAGATCGGTCCCTGGTCCACTTCTCGGAAAAAATTGATCACATATGCTAATACATGCTAAAAAGCTATCTGCGCACCGAATTTTAAGCAAATCGGACCGTAAATTCGAATAGATCGGTCCCTGGACCACTTCCCGGAAAAAATGGGTCATATATGCTAATATATGCTAAAAAGCTACTTACGTACTAAATTTTAAGCAAATCGGAGATTTTTTCGAATAGACCGGTTCCTGGTCCGCCTACCCGAAAAAAAGTAAAATTTTTTAGCCTAAAACATGGTGGTTACCGAAAGCTATTTGTATACAAAATTTCATGAAAATCTGACCAGCCGTTCGCGAGATTACCTGTTACAAAAAAAAGGGACTTCTCTTTATATAATTAGTATAGATGTGCAATTTTGAAGTTGCTAAAAGATCCCGTTGACATTTTATAGTTTTTTTTTGCCACAAAAAGATTCGTTATAAGGAAGAAAATGCCCAACATCGTCAGTAAAAAAACTCAGAAAATTAAAGGGAGTTTTTAGCAACTTTAAAACAGCACTTTATTGTATTAAATTGAATGGGCTATAAAACTGCATAATAGAATTTTTTGTAAAAATTATGATTAAAAAGTTTGATATTTTTATGACAATTTGGTGAACTTAAACCAACTTTCTCTAAAGTATGAAATTTTGATTTACATGATTTTTGTTGTAAAATGAGCTATATATTTTTTTTAATTAACAAAAAATACCATAAAAAATGTTTTGAATATTGCAAAAAAAATCGATGCAAAATATTTTTGTAAGTGACTGTATTTGGTACAGCAGTAACTGCCTACGTAACTATATAAAATTTTTTAAATCACTGTTTGAGATCAATTTAAAATATTATCAGTATACATGGGCGTAGCCAGGCAGGGGCAGAGGGGTGCTCGAGCCTCCCCCCCCCCTAACTTTCAAATTTTCCTTATATATATATAAAATAGTACCCTGAAATGCCAGCTTAATAGGGTCGAGCCCCTCCCCCCCCTAAATTTCATTCTGGCTACGCTGATGTCAGTATATTTAAGTAATAATAAAAAAGTTAACACATTTAAGTAAAAAATGAATGTATAAGTGCATCACCTATTCCATTTTGAGCGAAGCAAAATTATTCCTTCTTTTGATGGAAATGCGATCTTAAAGAAATTATAGCATTAAGGGTTGCAAAAAATTCTTGTTTTGCCCTTGAGAGGGCATATTTGTGATAAAAATTTAATTGGCTGACAAAAAAACGTTTGCGAATCATTCCTGAGAGTTTTGTCTCACCCAGCAGCGCACTGTATGCTTTTATTTCGTTTGCACTCGCGCACAAAAGCAGAACGAAACCCATTGCAACTGAAATTTTCTTTGTTTGGGTTTCGGTTGTGTTTTGCTCTCTGTTATGAGAGAAACGAAACAAAACAATGCGACTAATTTTGTTTATTTTCGAACTCTGGCTGGTATACGTGCGTCGTGTGTATGAAAAGGAAATAGGAACAGGATTTTCCTTAAGTACAAAACGATTCAGATTGACTGCAAATTTGATGTCTTTGGATGGATCATTCTTGAAATGTTTCGTTTATTTTCGAACTCTGATCCCGCTGCAATACATTTTAAGACGGCTAAATACATATCTCTTTTTCAGCTAAATATCCCTTTGTAGTCTTTCCCTCTAATTTGCTCTAAATTATCCTGCTTCTAACCTTCTAAATGCAATTTTGTCAAAGTCTGGGTCAAAGAACTATTGGCTAAAGATGTCCTATGGAAAGTTATTTTACTTATTTTGACAGTGCCAAGTTATTTTGCTAGATTTAACTTTGGGTCTTTGAAGACAAACATTGTGTTTGAAAAGGATTTTAATTAAAGTTAATGATTATACATAAAGTTAGATTTTTGGCTCAAAAGTTAAAAAAAGTCAACCCACTTTAAAAGAAATGGTTATGACATCGAGCAAAATCCTTTTAGAATTTCACGACCAACTATTGAGGACACTAGCGTTGGGACATATGTAGCTCTTTTGGCTCTAAAATGAGTGCACTGAGTTCCTTGACTTGGATAGCCATTTTTATTTAATTATTGAAAAATAAGCACAAATATGCACACGGATAATATAGATTTATATTTTATAGATATTTAGTGGTTATTTTATGATCTTCATTTTAATATAAACCCCGCGGCAAGATTAAGCATAAGGAAGTAATTGCTTGTATGGTTTTTAATCTTAGGCAAGCCTTCAATGGGATGACGTCGATATAATTCGAAATCTGAAAAATCGCTCAACTCCCCCACCTCAAAAACGTATAAAAAGTGCAGACTTATTTCGTGCCCAACACGGCATTAATTCGGAACGAGATTTTCCAGTGATTGGGCAGCATTCATTAAGCAGGGATCAAAAGATTATTTCAAGTGATTGCGAGCAGATTGCAGCAATTAACGAATCTAATATAGAATCCTTAGTAGAGAGAAGACAAACACTGCAAAATCAAGTAAGTGCTTCATTAGTCTTTTTAACAATGCCCTTAACCTCTTCATTGCAGCGTACAGGTACTGAATCGATGGATGATGGAAGTCTAGAGCACAAGTCCAATATTAGTGATGAGGATACTCTTGAGCATATAGATGGACAGCAAGTGAATAATGATTCACTACACCATCCACGTTCTACGATACACAACGCGTTTCTGGGAGTTCCAAAAGGTGCAGAGCATCAATCTATTATAAATCTTGGCGACTTCGGTATGTTGTTTAACTCTGATGAAGATATTGAACATTTACTTTAAGGCAGCAATGTATGTATACAAACGTGTATAATGTATGTACATATCAGAGTGTCCAGATTTGGGGATTTCGCGCCAATTTACCAATTTTTTTTTTTGATATTTGCGCGTAAAAATTTAGGAAATCGCCATTGGCGATCTTCTTCCTTCAAATAAATTGTTTCTAATTATAAAAATATAAAAAACTTGGTTTTCCACGATAATTCTACAGAAGAGGCCAATGAACTGCGTAATAAACTTGGCTTAAGAAGCATATTAATAGACTGTCAAAAATGTTTAATCACCCTGATCGAAGAACTTTTGAAACGATTACCTAGTCAATTAAATACTTTTAAAAAGCTTTGATTTTGTCACCAGAAAAGTGTGTGAATCAGAAGAGGGCGATTTTCAGGGACCTGCCAATTCACTATTTGACTTTGAAGGAAAGAAAAGCAGCGGAAACTTTCCCATGGAATAACTTTTCTCAGAACCATTCCATCCGACTCTGAAGAATTTTGGACAATTGCTTACGGAGTGAAAACCGCAATAGGCAATAAAATGTTTGGAAACATAAGTAAATTCATATTATTATCCTTGCCGAACTCACATGCTTTATTGAGCGCGTTTTTTCCGTAATGAATTCAACAACAACTAAGATTCGAAATAGGATGAGGTTGGAAAGCCTTATTTCAATAGTTCGAATAAAGTGTTATATGAAGGCTAATAGTATCTACTGCAACACGTTTCCAATATCAAACAGTGTGTTATCAAGTTTGAATAGTTCAATATAAGATAACGGAAATGTAAACCATTCAGATTGTGGAAACAGCTGATCTCGCCTTATTATAGGTTTTTATTTAATTTTTAGCGCCGAGCTCTTAAAAGCAGATTGTGCGATCAATCAATTAATATGAGTTCTAATAAATTTAATAATTGCGCAGTCCTATTACAAAATGTGTTGAAATAAATATTTTTAAAAAGTATGCGTACTTTTAAGGAAAATTGTTTGTACATCACTATTATAAAAGTGTTTTGTGTTATTTATTATTACCCTCTGTAGGTATTTTTTGGGTTTTGGTTTTTAAAACTAAAATATAACAAGATCTCATTTTTAAAATAAAAGATTTGTTAAATCGATTTTATGAATTTTGTTTAAAAATAATAATTGGCGATTTTTGGCGATTTTTTTTTCAGAAATTGGGCTTTTTTAAACAATCTGGACACCCTGGTACATATTCCTATATTATACTGGGTCGCACAAAAAGTTTGAAATTAACAAGCCAGACGCCCCCCTTCTTTCTTCCCTAGTTGGAAAGATTATAGGAAGATGATTATAGAGATACACGAATTTTCATCCATGCCAAGCTTTTTGACTTTATTTGTTACCCAAGTTTATGTTATGTGTTACATGCATTCCTTTACAGTACAATCCGTTTAACTGCATGTTCACTTCAAAAGTCGGATTTTGTATGAAAATTTCACCTTTTTCATTTTATAAAAGTAAGTATTTTGTCTTGTTACTACCTCTCAAAACTCTTTTTGTGTCATACATTGAAAATAAAATAGATTTAAAGGGCTTTATGAAGTGAGATTTCCAAACAAATTTTCGATTTCGGTAGCAGTCTTTATTTTTATTAAATACTAGCTGTACCCTGCCACGCTTTGCTGTGGCGTATTCCTGTTATATGGATGATAAACTATTAATGAAACAATGCATACGTTTCATATGTGTTGGGTTATGTAATAAGTACTTGTGTGCACACAATATTTATTGTTTTTCCATTCGCTGCATAGATATCAAGGATATCTGATTTGCTTTTCCAAAGTTCGACTCGAGCATTATTGATTGTGATTCCGAATGTCAATCGAATTGGGAATTGCAATATTTTAAATTGAAATGGTGTATCGGTCGGAATAATGGGAATTCTTCACCTTTGAAAGGCCACGTTAAAATCTTTACTTACACTACTTTCTTCATCAATTTCTTTAGTGCGAGTCGCCTGCCGTTGCAAAGTTTTGGCCGATTAATATTCCGCAACATGATAATTGGCACACCTATTTTCAATTTCAGTATGTGGAGTCTACCAGGAAGATCAATCGAGTTCAAAAATTCCGTTGGATGGTCTTTTTCCACAACGGTGTTTATAGACGTATGTGCTATTTCCTCACGTTGAATGCTGGATTGAATAATATTAGTGGTATTCACCAACGGGAGCAAGTGGCCTGGCAGTCTGGTAAAATGGCAGATCAGCTCAAGCAACGACTGTTTTCAATACCACTTTTATTTAGTTGATAGACATCCTTATTCTTCGCAGCAAGAATAGCGCGTTCACTGAGCCAATCGAGATTCCTATAATTAATTTTCTTAATAAAGAAACATTCTTTCGATCAGTTCTCCTTTCGATGTTTCTAAGTTACAAAAATTATCAGGCCATAAAATTTGTCTTAATCTCTCATTGACTGGCAGCTTTGCGTTCCCAATGTCCAGTTATTGTCGCGAGAATACTTCAGCTGCAGTGTATGTATGTTCGTCTTGTCGCAATGTTGACTATTTCAGGCAAGCATTTATCTCTCGCTAGTGTTAATCGGGGAACTACAGACAATGTTTGCGTAAAATTTCCTGCGAGCAATATCAATGCATCCCCGAATGGTTGAACGTTTCCACGCAAATCTCACAACAATAGATCAACGACCTTAAGCGATTTTTTATGTGCACCGATTGCCCTGGAAATATTGCATGTAGGAGTTTCGATGATTTATATGTTCAATGGCAGCTCAAGAGCTGAATTGGCAATGCTCCCACTTGGTAACAATGTCGGAGCAATTCCAGACGAAGTGATAGCTAAGGTAATGCAATTTTTTGATCGAACCGTTGCCAGAATCCATCTGATAAGTACCACCTGGCGCATTCTCCCCCAACTCCGCCATTTATCATTTGCATATTCTTCTTCTACTTTGGCTTTGTAACCGCCTAAGCCATTTTGGCCGAGCTCGACAAAGAACGCCAGTCAATTTCTCTCTGTGCCAACTTGGTCTCTCCATTGCATCGGGGGCTCCCTATTCCTCTGCTACCACCATCGGATTGCGAGTTGAATTCTTTCACACCTGGAACTTCGGTTCCTATTGGAACCACATGTCTAAGCAAGCGGAGCCGCTGCATTTTCATTCCCTGCACTATGTATATTTCGTTTTAAGTCTCAGTAAATCTTCCGTAAGATCTTTTTGTCGAATACGCTAAGAGACGTCTCATCGAATGCCTACTCCCTACTTCCAAACTGCCTACTCAGTCCAAAGTAGCACTTGTTTGCAAGAGTGATTCTGTGTGGGTTTTCCATGCTGATATTTTTATCTGTGATAATGCTGGTTCCCTAGTACACAAAATTCTCCACTTTCCCGAACTTAAAGCTGTCAACAGTCAAAACAACAACAATTCCAAGGTGCGAATGCGCTGACTGTTTTTTATGGCAGGAGATACTTCGTCTTGTCCTCGTTTACCACCAGGCGCATTCGCTTTACTTCCTAATCTAGTTTGGAAAAGGCAGAAGAGACTTCGCGATTTTTGTTACCGATGATGTCGATGCCATCGGCAAACGCCAGAAATTCCACGCCGTTGTAAAAAAATGTTCCTGCATGGTTTAGTTCTGCAGCTCTTATTATCTTAACATTTGCATCATGCGATCGTAAATGCCCTTCTGCTTTCGCTTTAATTATGGGAATCTTTGGTCGGGAATAGGAGTTCACAGTAGTAATGATAATTATAATCATAATAATATTATCTCAAGTTATTCAAAATTTTTTTACTCGCAATATACGTAGTAGGCAATGGCGACCCCAAACGAAATAAATTGTTTACGATTAAAAGTTAACTGATTTATAATGCTAGGGAATGTTGTCAACAGTTTTAAGTTTTCATTAAGAATTTTTTAAACAGCTTTCATGCGATAGTTTTTTTTATTTTCGTTACTCTTTTATCATTTTGTTATTTGTTTCGGTAGTTTTTAGCTGACTTAAAAAAAAGGAGAAGGTTATCAATTCGTCGGATTATTATTTTTTATGTTTGTTACCGCATAACTTTGGACCACGTCAACTGATTTCCAGGTGATCCCATACTAATTTGGTTTAGATCCGATCATTGGAGCATGAAAAAATTAACGGTACTATTAAATTTTTTATGATAATTGATGTCGGTTGTGTTTTTTGCTTAAAAATGACTTGTTTATTAATTTTTTACATTAAGTAATTTGTGTACCAGCTTTTCGTTGATAATATGATCACTTCGTTTGATAAGATGTCGTAAATTCTATATTTATTTAAACTGTTCCGATTTTGAATAAGTGGAAAGATTTAAAAAAGTTCCCTAGTAAAGCTTTCCCAAACACTTTTCGTTTGGAACCAATTATGTAATATTTCATTTAATTTCAATATTTTCAGTCTTTACTTTTAGATAGGTGATAATCCTATTAAAAATATTTCCAAATCAAGATTTTTCAAATACCTTTCGTTTGGCACCCATATTATACCTCAAACATATTTTCTGCTGTAAGCCTTCTTAAATATATTTTTATATATAGATATAGATTTCTAAATAAAGATTTCTCAAATGCCTTTAGTTTGTTACCGATATTGTAACACTTCATTTATTTTACCAATTTAATTGAGTTAAATTTTCAAACAGGTGGCAACCCCCTCAAACATATTTTCTACTGTAGATATTTTATAAGCTCTTTAGTTTTATACCCTCATTGCAATATTTCATTTGTTTAATCAATTTAACTGAGTTAAAATTTCAAAATAGGTGGCAACCCTCCTCAAAAATATTTCCAACAGTTATCTTTCTTAAACTTCTTTAATTTGATACCCATATTGTACTATTTCAATTATTTTATCAATGTAATTTAGTTTAGTTTTGAAACAGGTGGCAACCCTCCTCAAAAATATTTTTGACTGTAAGCCTTCTTAAAACTCTTTAGTTTGATATCC